TAGCTGTTGGAGTGGTTAGAATCAGTGTCAGTTCCCTCTCAAAGGCTTCTAGATAGGGGGAGAAAAAAAATTTATCCATCTTTTTAGAATAGTAGCTGGTCGTCTCCCTTAGCTACAGGTGGGCACTAGAGTATTGGAGATCAAGATTTGAAGTTTTCCATCTGAGCAGCACTTTCTGGTTAGGAAGAAAATCATCAATGAGAAATAATTGTCTAAATAACTTTTCATATAGACTTAAGCCTAATGTCTGGGAAGTATAATCCCTTGAATGCTTAAAGAAGTTTATTGATGACTTTGCTCTTTGGTTATACTTTCCTTTTGGGTGTTTAAGACCGTACAGTTGGCCCAAATAAATCAATTTATTTTCACACTTAAGGTCATTTGAGGATCTGTTCCTCAGGTGTCACATGGGCTTGGGAGAAGCTCCTGGCTCCTTTTTTTTAAAAACCAGTTCCATCTATGTGAAGGTAAGTCAAAGGTCCTGTTCAACCATAGCTGGCTTCACTTGGAAGCATGAATGAGATGTTTCCTCTGAGTTGACCCTCCTCTTTGTAGACTGGACACTGGTTCAAGTCCGTCTCATGGGGTCTCCATGGCCTCCCTGAACAAGAGGACAGGTGACTCACCACATTCACAGGACATTTTGAAAAATGTTCCATAGTCCCCTGGATCTTAATCGACCTTGAAAGGCAAGGGGCAAAAACTGTCCTTTAAGTCCCTCTGACCACATTAGTATAGGCCTCAAACTATGGCTGTTAAATATCCAATAAGGTTATCTCCACCACTCAGGTACTTTTAATTATCATGTGCTATGTAGATAAGGCTTGGGTAAAAAAACAAATATTCTCAGGTAAACTTTGACTAGATATATATTTTGTTCCTTAAACTAGTTGACTGAACTATGACCTTAGAAATTTTAAGATTATGTGTATATTATTTTTGTCTCATCCTTTATATGTCATAACAAACCTAACCAGAACTTCATCACTTGCTTAGGCTTCCTCATTTTTTCTATTTTGGAAACTACCTCCATTCCCATATCCTTTTAACATTTTTTACATTCTCATTTTCTTTCTTTTTTAAAAAATAATTATGAGACACAATAGCATTAACAAATAAATTT